AATGTGTGGGTGCATCAAACTCATATTGGAAAAATCAGGCCCAGGAGCTAGTGGAACCACCTCAGGATGCAGCCCCTCACTTGAGACCCACAGAAGGACGGGCACCTGAGCCTGGACACAGCAGCACACTGACCCTGTCACCTGGTCACTCATCACAGCCTCACCCAGGAATGTCACCCCAGCAATGAACCTTCAGTTTCTCCTGCCAGTGACGACCATGCAAGTCTCGCTCCAAGCTGACACCTCAGGCTGACACTCCAAGCTGACATGAGACTAGCACTCTCTGGACCTTGGCCTAGAATAGGTTCCTGTGCTCCGACGGCCCTGCGCCCTGCACAGGTTCTCGGTGGTTCCTAATCTCATCCGACCACCTGTGCTGACCCTGTCTGTGCCTGCTCTCTGCCTCCTGAAGCCTGAGGCCGCCGCACGGTCCCCAGCCTCTCTGTAGCCTGTACATATAGTTGTGTAGAGTGTGTTGTGTGACTTGAGCCTTACAGATGTAGAAATCAAGACTGAATGACCCTGTGACTGCCCAGCTTGACACCAGGGACCCACACGTCTCCACTGAACTGCCACTGATGAGAGTGGTGTCACCTGAGGATTGACTCATTCAGTAAGTTCTGGCGCAGTGGAGATGGGTCTGGTCTGTTGGTGACCTGGCTGGCTCATGACACAGCTCTTCATTGATGGCCCCCCAGGCAGCTTCCAGAACCCCCAGGAATGTCTGTGGGTCCCACATCTGTCTACTTGGTCTTTTGTCCTGTTTGCTCACACTGGGACAGCCATCAAACACCAAAACCCTCCTCTGTACAACCAGTATCTCCCTGTGCCCCAGCAGAGGGCCTCCCTCATGGCCAAGAAGACAAAGCAGAGCAGGGGCTGGTGTCTGCAAAGCCAGACTGTGGCTCACACACACACATCTGGCCTGCTCCGGGGCCCGGCCTTTCTTCCCTGCCTGCTGCCCACCTTGAAGTGTGGGCATTCAATGGTGCTGAAGTCCAGCCTGTGCTCTGTGTCTGCTCCAACTCTCACTAGGAGTGCTGCAGGGACCCCATGCCCATGCCTTTGTGTCCTGTCACTCCCTCCGCCAGGTCACTTGCGGTGCTTCTCTCAGTCCCACACTCATCCTGGTTGCTCTCTCCAGCCACAACTGGACTCCTTGCCACCCCTCCAGTGTGCCACCTTCTCCCACAGGGCCCTTGAACATGTGGCTCCTCTGCCTGGTGTGGCTCTCACCTTATCCACTCAGAGGCCTCTCTCTGCCCTCCTATGCATGATGCCCCCACCGCACTCCCTGTCCTCAGGCCTGGCTTCCACACTTTTGTCTGAGGTCCATTCTTCTGCTCTGCAGTCCCAGGGGCTCAAGAGCTCAGCATTTGTCTCCAAGGGTTGGCACAGAATGGAGACCAGTGAGCATTAGCACAGGAAGGATAAGTGAAGGGAAAGAGAGGGACATGAGGGATAGGAACAGCCACAGCAGGACCTCTGGGCTGGACCATCAGGCGTAGGGTTTCCTAACCCTTGACATCAGCAAAGCCCTTTCCTCACACACAGCATCACACAGAGCCACAGGACAGCCAGCAGAGATGACTGCATTGGCAACTGTGTTTCCAGGGTGATCCCAATGGTCATTTTTTTTAAGAGAGAGAGGGAACTTTTTTAATATTTATTTTCTAGTTTTCGGTGGACACAACATCTTCATTTTATTTTTATGTGGTGTTGAGGATCAAACCCAGCGCCCCACGCATGCCAGGCAAGCGCGCTACCGCTTGACCCACATCCCCAGCCTCCCAATGGTCATTTGTTAAAACCAACCGTCCAGCAGAGGAAAGCAGACCTATCTTGTAGTCTCAGGCTAACACCAGGTCCTTGCCCCTTGATGGGATCCTCACCTGTGTCTTTTCTTTTCTGTTTTAGTCACAGTTCAGGGAGTGTTGATGTGAATAAAAAAGTTAGGAATCACAATTAAAAACAAACAAACAAAAAAACAGGTCTACTATTCCACTTGAGTAAAAAAGTCACATAGAACTTTATTTCCCGGGTTTGTGGAGACATGAATGAACACTGCAGCCAAGGTCTATTCTTGCATCCTAAAATTCAGAGGTGACCCTCTACCTTTGTACTGAGGTTCTGTAACATTTTCTAAGAGCTACAAAGTCAGGGTCAGATTAGGGCATCCTCTGAAGCCCCCGGGGCTAAAGTTACATGAATTTCAGATAAATAGTATAGTTTCTAAGAACATGTCTAAATTTGCCCTTTAGACTAAAAGCTCAACTCGCCTTTTATACTGTTTATCCTAAATTCACATTTAACCTTGCCATAGTATGTGTGCCACACGTAGTATATTTTCATTTGCTAAATCTGGATACCCTGCAGGGTGTGATGGTGCAAGCCTGTAATCCCAGTGGCACGGGAGGCTGAGCCAAGAGGATGCTGAGTTCAAAGCCTGCCT